TTTTTAGGCTATCATGGGTAAGCCTCATCCAAATCATCCTTCTCCTTTTATATACCATCTTATCTGCTACCAGCAAGGGAGAGGGCCACCCTAACAGGAGAACCTGCTGGGCGTCCTCAACGTTCAGTGGAAAAACTTAACCATGAGGGGTTAACCACAGAATGTGGATTTAACCACAGAAAGCATGGCAACCATGCTGAAAAGGAAACCCAAAGCCTGCTTTAGTAGTATGCACCTGATCATGTAGTTTGTGTGGCCTGCCTTCTCAGATCAGCCTGCATATCCCTGGACATCCTTCTCTTCTGAAATGCAGAACAAGCTAGGTAGGTATGGTGGCACATACCTGTAATCCTAGCTACTCAATAGGCTGAGGAGGAGGATCACAAGTTGAAGGCCAGCCCGGGTAAATCCCTGTCTCAAAAAAAAAAAAAAAAAAAAAAGAGAAAGAAAAAATGAAACAGGATGTAAATTTTAAGAAATTATTGCTTTTAAGTTAGGATAGTTCAGGACTGAGCTATATTAAAGGACAAAGATATTACCAATTCATTCTGAGCTTTGATCTAATCTAGTCCAACATTCAGAGCACACTGACTAGCATGCAAAAAATGAGACTGTGGGACTCATTGTAGATATATATAGAGGAATGTTCTGACCAGAGGCAATCATAATGATTGATGATTTCAGAACAGAATAAAGAAAGTTAGTTCGGTCTCCACAGGAAAGTGCCCTTTCAGGCTGTGGCATATTGAAATCTTCCCACGAGATAGGGATGGAAATATAATATTACTGTTCAGGCTATTTAATGAATCTCTGTGTCCTTGGGAGCTCCATGGGCACTAATATTACTTTCTGGGAGTAGTAATGCCATCACTGTACCTGTGGCTAATTCTTTGCTATTCCCCAAGACTTTTCAAGTCCACCATCTTGTTTGACCTTGCGCCATCCTGAAGGATCTTCACGCATTCATCTGTTCATTTATTTAACAAATACGAATGATGTGCATGCTCTGTGTAGCTGCACATGCCAAGCTAGCATGATAGGACAATTGGTGCTCATTTTATAAATGGACAAACTGAAACATAGAGAATTTGTAGGCAGTTTGTCCCAAATTCTTACTACCAGTGACAACCATGTCAGGACAAGAGCAGAGAACGTTTGGACCCCTGCTGTCTCCACTGTCCTGCCCTATTTCTCACCATCCGTTGGCCAGGCAGCCATTCTTACCCGCATCTCCACCAGTCACCATTTCCTTGCCTCTAGTGAGCAGAGACTCAAACCCCACCATAGTACTGATGTCATTAAATTATGTTCATATGAGTCTGGATTATGACAAGCCATGGTGAAAGAGGCTGTTAGACAGCTTTCATCCTGAAAACAAGGTTGGCTAGTAGGCGGGCGAAAAATAAACAAGAAATATTCACATGAAAGCACCTGTATGCTAGTGTTTATAATAACTTAGCACTCAGAAACTTCTGGATTTGGAGTGTTGTTTCTAGTATCCTTACTATTGTAATGGATATTCTCTTAGCCTATGTCCGCTTAACCCTCAGATTAACTCACATTCTCCTTTCCTCTGTGAAAGGAGCCCTCTGAAGTCCCGAGCACACTGATTGCTCACGGTTTGCTGGCTACCTAGGCCCTCTGCCCTCACCCAGTGAATGGCTGTGCTTGCCAGAATCCATGAGTAATCCCAGTTCTGTGATGGTCTTAGTGTAGTTAAATCTTTGTTATATTAGCTGACAAAAATGAGTTTGTTAAGCGTGAGGACTGTTTCTATGAAAACTACTGACTACTTTAAGACAATCCAAATATTGTAATAAGTTGCTAGAAATATTGTGCTATTGTCCTGGATGTGGATAAGAAAGTTATGAAAGATTGGGGAATAAAATTCTAAAGGGATTCTGGACTTAGACTGTTTGCCAAGTGACTTCATTTTCATTCCACTTCAAAGAAACTGAAAATAGAGCCTACCAGCAAAGCAGTAAGGGTATACTTAGTACAGTCAGTAAACACATCTCAAAGGATAGAACTGAGTGCTATATGAGAGAGTTTGTGCTGAGAGTTTTCCAGCAGGAGGCTTGAACATCAGGAGAACATATCATAGGCTCTACATTTTCAGAGCACCAATGAATAACCTTCAGTGTTTTGCTGAGCATTTACTTCACTAATAGAGAAAAGTTGATAGGCAAACACTGGAGTAATATTCAAACATGTCCAGCTTATAAAATGTTACCTCCTAAAACACTAGTGCTGAATTAGAGCATCTATGGGAGAAAAAAACAAACAAACGGAGTGGTACTCCTAAAACTTACCTCCCACTCTGCACTGGGAATATAATTTGCAGAGTCCAGTGAAAAATAAAAATGCAATGCCAAAATTAATAGGCTTTTCAGCTGGAGACAGCAGAGCATTCAGCCAAGCACAGGGCCATCCTGAGACCGGCCCTGTGCAGCATACAAGGCATATACCTAGGAAGACCGTGTAGCTGTGACTCACCGTTACTGGCAAGCAGTAGACATTTTTAAATTTACTTTGCTCCAGTTTACTATTGCCTACAAAAGTTAGTATGTTAACTTGATTCAAGGTTACCTTTGTCATAAATCATACCTTTGATAAACACCCAAAGAATAAACTTGAGAATCTCATACTCTTTCTAAAAGGTAACAATTCGTAATTGTTAGGAATTTAAAAGCTTTGATTTTCTTATTCTTTTGGTTTTTTTTTTTTGTTTATTTGTTTTTTGTTTGTTTTTTTTCCCCGGTACCGGGAATTGAACTCATGACCTTGCACTTGCCAGGCAGGCGCTGTGCTGCTGAGCTAAATCCCCAGCCCCGATTTTCTTATTCTTGATGCATTCCATGAATCAGTGGATTCTGGACTACTTAAATATATCCTTTAGGTGAAAGGGCTTGAGTTCCATTTGGAAATAAAAATAGAAAACATGAACGAACATCAGTCCTATAAAATTTTAAGGATATCAGTATCAAAGATATTATTTTCCATGGAACAATGACCTAGAATCAAATTCTCAAGATGTGAGATTTTACATGAAATCTTTATGTGCAACGTGATGCCAAAAAACTTGGGCTTTTGCAGAGGCTCAGCCTAACTGACAGTTCAGACCACGAAAAAGTATACTAAATTCATGGTCATAATGTGTTGGAAAATGAAATTTTAAATGATGGATAAACCTTATATACATGATACCACCAGATAAACCTAAATTTGAAGAGAATAAGGAAGAGATTAAATTCAAAGCCCTGACTCAATCTGCAGTGGCTAGAGATATCTTGGGTGCAGTTTTATATTGAAGCACAACAAAGCCAGCAGTGACGTCACAATAATGAGACAGTAGAGGAGCTATGCTGAGAAAAGCTATACTTTGAAGCAATTTAAAATTACTGACTTTATTAAGTAAACATGGTAAGTTTTTAATCACATTACAGTACTTATGGTATACTTAGGGGTTTTTTGGTTGGTTTTTTTTTTGTTTTTTGTTTTGTTTTTTTTTGTCATTTTGACTCTTTCCTATGACTTTATCTGGTAAAATTAGACTCGAGAACTAACTCAGTAGCTGGTGAGAGAAGGCTAAGCTAGACATCTTGGAGAGCAGGCCCGAGCTAAGAGTACATTGTTAAGAGCACCTGTCAGTGTCTTTTAGGGGAGTGGAGACTCCAGGGACAACTGGTCTCCCTCCTGTTGAATAGGGGGTTACTAGACAAATCCCTGCTACTGCCCACTTTGGCATATTTCCCCATTCAGCCATCTAGAGGGGAGACCCAGGAGTCAGACCTCCACTTTATGACTTTTGGCTTGTTGCTCACACTTGAAATTCCTGTGTTTCACTGTGGCTCTGCCTTGGCTGCCCTGGAGGCACCCAGTGGCTGAGGAAGGCTCTCTAAAGGAAATTCTAGTATGCCTGTTGGTAGTATTTTATACAGATGGTCTAAAATGCACCTTCCAAATTTGGGGGAAATGTTTTCATGTGGAGTGGTGACAGAAACTTCATTTTATTTGTATAAGTTATTAGGAGTCAGGTCATGATAGAGAACAGATAAGAAGTGAATATAGAGGAACCATTTTGATATTCATGTCCTCCAGTCAGGCTAAAAGATTCTGTTTGTGATGCTGATCCGCAGGGAGTTTTTGGTCTGCTCAGGGTGCTTATTTTCACTTGGGAAATTTCTGGACCACCAATCTTTAAAATAGAAGAATTATAAAAGGTGGCAAGTTTCCTTACGTTTGTTGAACGTTTTATTTTTCAAAAGGTCTATTAAAGACTGGCTACTTCCAGTCACCCACAAAGAAGTGACGCTAGAACTCCAACTGAACACCTTCAAGGTTCGAAGGAAAAAGTGATTTATAGGATTCTCTTTTCCTTTTTAGCATTTTTTGACCCCAGGAGTAAAAATGTTTTAATATTAAGGAAATGTATTAGCCTCTGCTAAAAGCTGAGCCTACTCATGATCCTCCAGGGCTGAGCCCTTAGGGACCTCCATGAAAGCTGGGAGGAAAGACAGGGACTTTATGCTAGAGTCCAGTTGGAGAGGACGGAGGACAGATGTCTGCTCAGTGACCGTAGCTGGCCATTAGCTGTCCGGTTGCATGTGATCTCCCCCACGCCCTCTCTTCCCTGCACACACACACACACACACACACACACACACACTTTCACGGTCCAGGTGGGCTCTCCTGCCAGTATCCTAGCGTCCCCTCGAGGGACGAATAGTGAAGCATCAGTAGGGCCTGCAGGCTGCCTCGGTTCCCTTCCCTCTGCACCTCTTCCTCGCCGCCCTCCACCGCGGTGAGGCCTATCCCCTAGGCCAGCGGCGGTCACCTTGCACCTCCCAGAGGGAGCGGCCTCCAGGGGGAGCCCGCCGCGAGGAGAGGCGGCTGCGGGGAGCGCGCCCTCGCGCCCCATCCACCGGGAAAATTCCTCTCCCAAGCCCGAGGCGTCACCAGGAGGCGCTGACTCACCCTCTGCGTGTTCTCTCCTCTAGGAAATGTGACCGGAAACAGTAACTCGACGTTCATCTCCAGCGGGCAAGTGATGAACTTCAAGGGCGACATCATCGTGGTCTACGTCAGCCAGACGTCGCAGGAGGGCGCGGCGGGGCCGGGCGGCGCGGGCGCGGACCCCCTGGGGCGCCCGGTGCAGGAGGAGACGCAGGGCTGCGACTCCTTCGCGGGCAACGCGCCGCGCTTCCCGGACTCGAGCGCGGCCGCCCAGGCGCCGCGGGGACCTCTCGGGGCGGCGCGGCCGGTGCAGGAGCAGGGCGCGGGCTGAGCGCGCCGGCCGATCCGGATCCGGATTCCGATCCCTCCGGACCTCGGCCGAGCCCGGACGGGTGCGCGAACTTGCCTGGCGTTCTCCGCCCGCTTTCCGAGGACCCGGGCCTTTTGAAAAGCGAGGGTGCATTGCGACGGCTCACTGTGAGCACAGCCTCCCCTTCGCACCGGCGCACAGCGCCGCCGGCCGGGGTCCACCCGCTCCCGCCGCGGCTTTGCCAGCCCGCACCCGTCCCTCCTCGGTGACGGCCCCTTTGACATCTTCGGTTTATGACGGTCTTGGTCCGTGTAGATCCGTTTTCCTCCCTATGTTTCACTTTCTTTCTTAACATCTTGATTGTTTCTTGCACCTTCTTTTCCTATTTAAGGATATATATATATATTTCCACTCCTCACAGTGTTCTGCTGATGGCTTTCCAAGTGTGTGTCTGAGGACTTTCAGGGAAAGGCTAGACCTGTAAAGCCTGGAATGAGCTGCAGGGTACATGTAGAGGGACTTTTATTTCCTGGCAAATGTTCTGTGTCCCCATTTTTCTAAAAGGAAGAAAATGGGAGCTCTTGTTTTGCCCCCATGCATGTTTTTAAGTTTGTATAGTTCCTGGAGCAGAACTAAGTTCAGTGCATGGCCTTGCCCCCTACCTAGTTTATTTATCCACACCATCAGAGGCAACAGGTATTTGGCAGCTGTCTAAAAAAAAACTGGCAACTAGACCTCTAAAAATTGCTGCACATAGCATTCTGAATCTTGATGTCTCTGAAGATGACCAAAAATAAATAAATAAATAATAGGACACTGAGTGTGCCCGCCCACAAAGTGAAAAGAAGGTGCCAGGGAAGTTCAAGAAAGAATAAAGTTGACATTATTTGCATTTTCTCTTTCTAGAGATGAATGCCATAATTATGCTTAAGCAGTAGGTCCTCCTTTCTTCCTAAATAATTGTGCATCTGTCACTTGGCCTTGATGAAATATCCCTACTTTTCCCAGTGCATTTAATTTACAAAGGAAATCCTCATGTTGTGAGCATAAGAGAGCGTCTTATCCTACCTTATTCTCTTGGCACTGGTCCTCCTGCAAAGAAACAGAATGTAAGTCAGCCTGGGAAGAAGTCACGTGGGTGGATCTATCTGTTGTGGCCAGTGAGCCACGATGGTTTTCCTTAATACTGGAGAAACGTTAAATCACCGAAGCAAATTAAAAGTAATGTGGCACATCTGGCAGGTGCAAGGGTGGTAATGGTGGTCACCGTGAAGACTGTAATGGCCATAGATGTCCACCTGGAGAGAATGGCTGTGCATCATCTCTCTCCTCGTTTCAGTTCTCCTGGAAGTGCTGGTTGGTAGCAGCTGATTGTGACTTTCAATGCAGAGGCAGAGAACAGCTCTGTAATTTATGGGATCTTCACTCTGCAGGTACAAAGAACTTCAGGAATAACTGCAGTGCGAGAATGATCTGTTGGTGGGAATTTACTGTCTTTTCTGCCCTTTTAGTTAACATTCACCCAGAATGAGATATAACAAAAATAGCGGAAAAAACATTACACCTTTTGATTCAGAATATATTAAACAGACAGAATAATAGTTCACAAAGTAGGATGCTGAGCTAAAAACCCACGTTTCTACTGTGACTGTCATTATCTTACTTCACCTCTCTGCTTTCATTTTACTTTCTATAAAATGACAATAATAATTTATCATAGTTTTTCTACCCAGAAGTATCAAATGGATGCTACAGTGAATGTTAAAGTATCTTGAGCTCCTTAAATAAAAGGTGCCATATTAATACATGAGAATCTAATTTCAGAAAAGTAATATTCTTTCCCATGGATCTCTACTAATGCTGCATCATTCCAAAGGAAACTAAATGATAGGAAATGGGTAACAAATGTGGGTCTGTCTGTGCAGAGATGTAGGTGACAAATGTAAACAGAATAAAATGAAAGCAATAATAAAAAATTATTTGGGGGACATGATAAAGAGATTATTAAACTTTTATTTGACCATAAAGATTTTCCATGGCTTTCTAAAACAGGGTTCATTATAGCCTCGTGATCCAACTTATTCCTGATTTGTATGGTACGCTGACGTGTCACATGTTGGTTTTGTGTTTTCTTTTTGTGACTCTCTTGACAACAGGCTTGGGAGAAAAAATTCTTTGATGATGTATCTGCTGTGAATTGCATAAGAAAAGTAAATACAGTCTTTCTACCTAGTGAACAAGTTGAAAGGGAAGTACCTGTAGAGGGTAATGTTTCCTATCCACACCTACTTGGCTACTAGAAGGCAGAATTAATTTCTTTTTCTACCTGAGAATGCGAAAGTGGTTTGGAAGTAATGTATGGAAACTTCTTAGGGCAGGGGAAACTATTCTTACTGTGTAACGAACCACTGGAAAACTCAGTGGCTTGAAACAACTGCTGCTTATTTAGTTTACGTGTTTAGGTTGGATCAGCTTGGGTAGTTGGGTAGCTTGGGAAGCTCAGGCGTACGTCCAGCAAGGCTGAACTCCCTCCCCCAGTTTCAGGGAGCAGGCTGGTTGCTGGGGGTGCTCTGGTTTGGCCTGAGCTTCCTCCACGTGGTCCCTTGTCCTTGCGCCCACCAAGCAGGGCTGGTTCTTGTGGTGGTGTCAGGGCCTTGGGCGAGCAGGCAAAATCCTGCCAATCTTCTTGAGGTGTAGCACTGACTGGCACACTTTGCTTCTGCCACTTCTGTTGGCCAAAGCAAGTCACAAGGCCAGTGCAGATTCAAGAGATGGGGAAACACACCCCCATAGGAAGATGGGGTGGGTTACAGGGAGGGGAAGTGAGAACTCTTTTGCCATGTAACTACCACAGGGACATTGTTTGGAACACAACAGAGCAGAGAAGCGTTCGCTCTGGAAACAGCATCTATCAGGCACATTTCCTAGCCCCTGATAAGTGAAGGGTTCCCTCTCCTATGATTGATTCTTCCAGTAGGAGAGACATCCACATTCATATTTAAGTATCAAAATCTCTTCCAAAGTAAATGGAGATGATTTGGGAATTGGGTCTGTGATACCCCAGCTGTACTCCATTGTGCAGAAACCTGCAACATGGCTATTTATAAAACCAAGAAAACTGGTGAGATACTTTGGGTAGAGGAACCAGTTAATAAGCAGATAAAAGACCTCGTGTTCACCTTTACTCTGCTTCATCAAATATGCTTTATGAACTGGGTAAAAGGGTGACATGAGTCAAGCACTGTCTTTGGTGGACTTGTGGTGTAGTATAGGTCTGTTTGCTCTCGGCAGTCTTGGAAGCATATGATTCCCCTAGTCCATCTGCGCTGGGACATTGTGTGGTTCCCTGGGTGCAAGTTGCACAGTGTGATTTGGAGGAGGGAATAAGGCTCTCAAGGCCCTGCATGCTCCACTGGTGAGTCATCATTTCCATTTAGTGTACTTTTAATGCTTGGGCCCTGGGGCACCCAGCGAGAGGAGATGAAGCATGCTGGGACTGAGAAAGACAGGACAGGGCTCTGCTGAGCTGCCAGAGAAGGCTGCTGGGAAAGGGTGTAGTGTGTGTGGACTTCCTGACCCCCAGGGCAGTGCCTGTGACCCAGCTAAATTGCGACTACTAAAGCCTTGCCAGGACAAGATGGGGCCTGAAATTGGAGGAGGCATGGGTAGGGTCAGATAGGGTGGAGCAGCCAGAAACAGGCATAAATGAAGTCCAGGTAAGGCCAAGCCCATAGGTGCAGGGCAGCCTCATCCACTGAAAACCCTGGACAGCACAGCCTTCGCAGCCCCCATTAGAAGCTGCCCCACTTGGCCAAACAGCCCATGTGCCCAGGGTTTGAACAAGAACAGAGACACCTCTCTGACTGTGCCCTCCTGAGCCCTCCACCACTGTTTCTCATGGTTCTCCTCGTTTTCTTCTTCCCTACTGGCTTCACAGTTATGAGGCTGACCCTCATGCTTGGCTAACACCTCTTTCCTTGATTCACTTTAGCAAAACTGACACACAGGAGTACTTCCAACATTGTTAAAAGAATAATAAGATTTTTAACTTTAAAAGATTAAATTGTGACTTACTAGTCTGTGTATCTTCATTCTAGCCAAGGAGCTGGTGGATTTACCTCTTCCCCTATGTAACAGAGAAAGCAGAAGCTTTGTAATCAGCCCTGGTTCACAGTTCAGCCCCGACACTACGGATTCACCTGGGACAGCACTGCACTTGTTAGCCTTGTTTTCCACGTGTCAAGTGGCGGTAGAATATTAGTGTATAGGGCGGGTGTAAGAGCAGCATGGAATAAGGTCCAGTTACACCCCGAAAGGGTTCCTAAAGACACAAGCAGAAGAGATCCAAGTGTTACACGCCACTTTCCCTGTTTCTAACACCTGTCCCTTCCCGGACACAGAAACCATCTCACGCATCATCTTCCCTTCCTGAGTCAGACCACACGACTGTAACTGAGCTCTGCCACCTACCACAGATACTTCCTTTTCTCTGACAGTAGGTTGGAGGGAACACCTTTTCCCCAGCGGATTGGTGAGACTGTGGTGGCTGGCCCAAAAGCTGTCATCTGCTACCGGCATGGCCCAGAAGGCAGTGACTGACACAATTTAACTTCACATTGTACTGACTTCAGACAGTGAAGTGGGCACTGGAGGGTCTTTCTCTTGTAGCCCAGGAATCTGATAATAGTGAAGAATTCCCAGGTGTGTGGGGTGAAAGGCTCTGTGTGTGTGTGTGTGTGTGTGTGTGTGTGTGTGTGTGTGTGTGTAGCCCCACCCCCACCGGATATTCCTGGTACCTCTTTCAGTTTGGGAAGAATAATAAATGGGCCATCAGCTCAGCAAGGATGACACTGGCACCCTGCAGGAGGGGACTGGAGCCCAAAGAAGCTTCACTGTACCCTAGGGAAGACTCTCGGTTCTCAGGGAGCAAAGGCTCACACACTTGAAAGTTATGAGAAAACCACTTTCTCATGAGTCCTTCAGAGGTTACCTTCTCCTGCAGAGAAAGTAACACACCTGACTCTAAAAAGAAAAAAGCAAGTTCATTTTTACTGGCTTTTATGGCCTCTATTTAAAAGGTGAAGAAGCCATGAAAACGCGTGTTTAAATCTCTTCGAAGAGTTTTCACTAAATGTTTACCATGATAAAATAAACAATTTTTCATACTAGATTTGTTGAGTTTGTTCTCTAAAGTAAAATTCACTTTTAGTAGGTACACAATTTTGTGATTTCTGACAAAAATTTGTTACTGGGTGGCTACCACCACCACAGTAAAAATAAAAAGTACTGTCGCCGCGCTAACATTCCTGTTTTCTTCTGCAGTCAGAGACGTCCCTGGCAGCCCCTGACCCTGGCAATCGCTGTCTTCCCTCTGTCCCAGTCCTCTTGTTTCTCCCAGAGCGTCATTTACACGGGATTATACAAGACATGACATCAGAGTCCGGCATCTTCCGGCACAGTGCTGCTCAAATCCATCGGAAATGTTGGGTGCATCAGTACTGAGCTGCTTTTTATTGTCGAGGAAGAGCTCATTGCGTGGTTGTGCCACGGCTTATCTATTCACCAGCATTTAAGTTCTTTCTAGTCTGTGGCAATTACAAGTAATGCCGCTGTAAGCATATGGATGTGTGTTTTTATTTCTCTTCAGTAAATGTCTACGGGTGGGGTTTATGGATGTTTTCTGATTTCATATAGTAATAATAATATTATAATGAGGTTCTGGATGAGGAAAAAGAATGAAAACAAGGCCCAATACCATGACCCTTTACATCTGGAAATGGAGAAAGGAAGTGGCCTTGAACAGATCTGATCATCTTGGGAGAGGTTACTTAGTCATACAGTTGGTTTCTGTGGGCTTGGAGTGTAACAGGAGCTCTTGGGTCATGACAGAAATGGCCCACAGCTGTTCTTTGTTCTACTAAGCTACTCCCAGCAGACCAGGAGGGAAAATTGCAGGCAAGCTCATGAGCGCCAGGGGCCAACATTTGGAGATTCTCTGGTTGATTAAGGTCCAAGTGAGGTGCCCTGGCAAGGAAGGATACCAAGGGCATCACAGGGCCAGCTGAACTGATGCCTTGGTGTGAAAGTGATGTGGAGTCAGGCCCGGCTGCCTCTGACTCGGTTCTGCAGATGATGGTGGGGCAGGTGGCCGACGTTAGTATGATTTTAACTCTGGAGCTGGAGCCTCCCTTCAGCTGTAGACAACCATCTGAATGCATGGGACCAGCTCCCACAGGGAAACAGGGCATGACTGGAATCTTCAGCCTTTCTTTTCCTCTCAGGTATTTGAAAGGAAAATATGTCTCTTCTGGACTAAGTAAGACATTAGGGTTATTGTATGACTAGAGAGGGATCCTTCAAAATATGAGCAGTTTGAAGCGGGGTGGGCTCCAATAATTCCTAGGGGAAAAAAAAGGTGCAATTAGCAAAGCAGACCATGATAGAGACATACAGAAGATGAGAAGAGGGATCAAAACATCATAAATTTGCCTACAGCCACCCCTCCAAAGAGTACCTGCTCTTAATAATATAAAACTCATATCTAATCATGTTACCTCCACCTAACACTCTATGCTCCTTCATTGCTCTTAGAATACAGACCACATTTTCAAAAGGTCTTCACGGACCTCTGCCCCATCTCCTCCACTGTCTTCCCCTCCAGCTGCACTAATCTCACCAGCCTCAGGGACTTTGTATATGTTGTCTTCTCAGCAGCATTACGAGTTCTTCTTCAGGTTAAATTGAAATTGTATCTCATTCAAATGGCACACTTCCTCAGAGAAGCCTTTCTTAATTGCCTTCTCTCCTACA